TCCTTCACATGGACTACGGTACTCTGCAATTTATTTGATGTTCCGTAGAATACTTTGATATTGCATTTGTTGACCATTCTCCTAACCTCATACTAGTTGTATGATCTGTATGGGATGACTTTTGTTATCACCCATAAATTAGGAGTGCTTTCACGATCTAACTTAATATGATTTTCAATTTCTTGAATGAATTTCGCAGAATAATTAATCACTTCAAAATTTTTGTTCCTTAACTCTTTGATGTTCATCTATTATTGGAGTATGTGACCTCGTTGAAAGACTAGAGACAACGAAGACCTTTACACTGATGGAATGCGATTAATTGAAACCCAAATATTCATTTAGATGTGTTGCCTTTCTGAAAATGGTTGTACTTAAATATCCATTTCGTTTCCACCCAATAAGAGAATCAAGGAGGGATAGTTCACCGTTATTCGTCTCCCTTTCTGGGCTGACCTTGATACTGGAGGGACTAGAGTTCATCTGATGTAAGAATACCTGATATATGTCGTGTTTTGATACTATGAACGTGTCATCAACATATCACAGCCAATTTTTCAGCTTTAGTAAGTGTACAAAGAAACTTTCCTCAAATTTACTCACAAATAAGATGCCAACTGTGGATGGAACAAGTGAACCAAAGACAAATTGGTTAAGTTTTTTACATAATTTTCCTTTGAATATGAAGTAGTTGGTCTACGAATAAATTCTTAAGGCCTTGATGACGTCAGTGGTATTTAGAGTACATCATCCCGTCAAAGTTGTGTCCAAGTCGTATAAAGTTCTTATAAAGTTCACGGTAGCTTCCACTTTCATGATCTCTTCCCTAAATTTCAGCTACTCACTGAGTACCATCAGTAGAACAGGATACCCAGAAGACTTCAGTGATTTAAACGTCGTAATAGATTATTCAGAAAAAGAGAATTCTTCTCCGATAGAAGCAGAATATACGAAACAAACGTTTAGTGTCTTGAATATTTCATTATCCATGAGCACGGGAAATAAGTTAACGTTTACTTTTAGTCGAACGTGTATCTCTGACGAAAAGAGCACAATTTAAGTTCACTCCTCATGTGAAATAAATGTTTTCACCTCATTTTTGTTTTAAATCGAAGATAATGCAATGGTGCTCAATGACATCTTTATAAAAAAAATCCTGAAAATTGTCTATACTAAGTGAAAATCATTATACTTCTACATGTCAACTACAACGTATATAGGATATGGCATGATCAGAGTTAGAAAAAGATGTATGAAGACTGTGAACATTCTTTTCTATGAACTTACTATACTGGATCTTAAGTATTTATATCTTCTATATAGTGCTGAATAATCGGTAGTGTAAGGCTGAATGTGTGCTGTCCGATACATTACCTCGAAAAACATCTGAGAAATCAGACCAAACAACGTGTTGCGAAGGTGTTTTGCAAACATCAATAATAGGCCTACCTAAATATACTTCACGTAAAATGGTTGCCCTGAAAAAATCTACTCTAGACAGCACATTCTACTTAGAGGAGAGAAGCGACACCAAGTGTGAAGTGAAATTTATTGGATGTTTAATAGATAATTGGTGCCTATGTAGACGAAGGCGAAGAGAGTGACCACTTGGTCCAATGTGTTGTTGATTATAGTTATTGCAGTTGGTTTTGTAAATGATATTCGGCTTGTATTCGTTGGTTGTTACATCTTTTGATCTGCATAACAGTGTTTAGAAGGGATTTGTTGGTTTGCGAGCCACACCAACTCCAAGTGGTCTCAGCAATCTTGTCGTAATTCCTCATATATCATTTATGTATAGTAGGATAATGCGTTTGTTGATTTCTGTCGATGACTTTGTAGTTGATGATGTATGAGATGGACATCTTCTGATAAAGTTTCATGGGTAGCCATTCATCTTTAGGATAGACATCAAGTAATTTTCTCCTTTCGCCATGAATTTTTTATACTGTAGTGTATTCTCGCTCTTTTAAAATAGAGTCTGCATGCAACTAATTATATGTGTTGTTGTGTTGTTGTTACTGTAGTTGAGGATTTGATCAGATATCTCAAGAATATTTTATGCAGTAGAACTCCAGCATTAAAAGAAAACAAAACTTATTGACGGTTGTTTACCCTGACAACATTTGAAATATGGAGTCCTATCCAGTAGAGTTTATGTGTTAACATGTACATGTAGTTCGATCTACACACACACACACACACACAAACACACAGAGGAGCCGTACATCCATGCAGGTAACGGTAAAGAAGCGAATTCCAAAGTGTTCGCAAGAAAAAATTAAAACGTATGACCCCACTGACTAATGCAATTGACATTTAACTTGTTAAAACTTCATATCTGAAGGAGTTTAAGCCTTTATTGGTATTCAATAATAATCCTTGGTTATACCAGACTTCTATTGGTAACTCACGTGAACTAACAAGTTGACCTTGTCTTATGTTATATTGATCTTGGTGACTAGCAGAAGAATCCAGAGTGCATGTTTCTTCCTAGTTGGGACTAGTCAGCTGATTAACCTGCACCCCAATGAGTGATTTTGTTCCAGTTGGGGCTCGAATCTATCATCCATCACTCCAGAACCCCAGAGCGTTATCCACCAAGCCACTGGGGGACAACAGCTTCCTCTTGTGCTAAGGGTATCAGTTATTGTAACGATACTCAAAATTTCCCGCATAGAAGCCCATCTGTCAACAAAAGTTGAGCAGTTCGGCCCTGTATAGCGGTAGGAAATAACCTGCATCATTACTACAGAAGTTGACCTTCCGCTTCATGGATTTTCTCATTTTTTTAGTGTAATTGCTTGTATTATACCGTCGTTGATTGGACTGAATTGATCGATCTGTACTGTAATATGGGCTTCTGTGCGGATGCCTCGGTATTGCCTGTGTTCTGATCATAGTAAAGATGGATAGTGGCTAGCAGTGGAATCCAGGATGTGCATTTCGTCTTATTTGGGACTCGTCAGCTAGATGTACCTGCCTCTCATTGCATGGACTAAACTTCTCTCTGGATTATTGATCTTGATGAGATCTATCCTTAATTTGTCTGGAAAAACTAATCCACAGCAATCCATATAAGTTAACATGGTCAAATAATTGGGTGGGAAAAGACAACTGTAATAAAGATCAGTACAGTGTGGAACGTTTTTATCTTCATTTTGTCCTTAGCTCTCATGCTAAAGGATTGATTCTAGACGAGTGGCTTGATTACGTCTTCTGAACAATGATTTTCCAAATATAGGGTAGCTCTATTGTCCAAGAAAACTGGAAGGCCTGAAGTAACTGCATATTGTATACTGCTTTGGCCTTTGCTAATCATTCCTAACGTACATGTTTATGTAGAAAATTATCGGACAATCAGTGTAATAAGACACTTCCTATGTGATACCAAAATCCATTTACTGTAGCTTTTTATGCAACGTTACTTTCTAAAACATCCCACGATATAAGTTCAGTTGCACGGTGATAGTAGTCCTACTACTCATGAAAATCTATGATAAGAATTATTTTAAGATCAATAGACCATAGAAAACCAGCTAAGGTTCATTGATGACGTACTTCAAGCTCAATTTCTAAAGGTTCTAGCATAAGAATGTGACCAGTTAAGTCAGCCCGGTTAGGAGTGAGTTGGATGCCAACTAATGTCACTGGAAGATAGTCACTGTACTGGTAACTGACAAAAATAAGTATTTTTAAGGTAGTATACATTACAAACTGGTATCATTTGAGGGATCAGTGGAAATTTGGAAGTATTGGACAACTGTTTCGTCCTAATGTGGAACTCTTCAGCAGTACGCACCTACGATTCTGTCAGTGATTGGACTCATGATCTTCGAATTTCATGGTGAACAAGCTAACCACGGAATCACTGCATTGGAGTTCAATGGTCCATATTTCCTTACTTTTGTCAACTCTTGATATAGAGCAACTGTTGCCCAAAGTCTTCAGTTGGCAACTACTTCACTTCCAACTGGTTGACCCCACTAATCATGAATTGTTCACCATATCCCTACCACTTGATTTGTATTCTGATATGAATTGTAAACCTATATATTAGTGTAGAGCCCAAGACGAAGACCTAATTGAAAAGGAATATACTTCTTCTCTCAATCAGTCCTTTTTCTCATTAGAACTTCAGGATATCCCACCCAAAACATGTCACTAATGAGTACTATAAAGTAGTGTATTTTGACGTTAATGAGGATTTTATTTTTAAGGTAGTATTCATCACGAAACGTGTTACTGAACCATTCCACCCAACCCACAAGCTAAATGGCAAGGTTTTTGGGTTTTCATTGTTCTTCAAGTCATGTTACTCAGTGATACAAATTACCTTTACATAATTATAGATAGATATTTGTGCTCATTTCAAATAGCCACTTATCCACTTTAGTATCATTTCAGCTGAAACATTTGTGATTAGAAACCTCACAGCTTGTTTCGCTTCATGATCCTCTTCGACAAACTACACGTAGCATCAATAAATCCTCGATGATGACAGAAGCCTCACCAGCGACTTGACTCAGCCATCATTCAAGTTCTCTTCCAACTTTCATCGTCATTTTTATATAATTTATTTCTGTTTTTGTTGCTGATAATAATCTTTGTCTGTCGGCTAAACTGATGATATATGGATAATAAAAATGTTCTAAGAGGTGAACCTGGATCACACGTAGATTGAAATCAGCGGCCTACTATTCATATACTCCATTCTCTTTCATTCTGAGGAAGGATGATGAAATATAGTCTTCGTTGACTGAAATAGAGTTAAAGAAGCCTTTGATACAAGCTAAGTTACAAAACAAACATTCAATCATTATAGTATCTTATACGATTTCGCCACAACAAAAAACATATTCAGAAAACTAAATAATATGAAAATTGTATTACTGTGACCACTTCTGAAATAATATTTAGTTAAGCTTGCTTTAGCATCATAGATGAACAAAAAGAGAACTTCAAATGTACGATAACACTATTACACTAATAAAATGTTCTTATTCATTTGTACGATATATAATGAAAGAATGTTGATCAATTTTGAAGTGAAATGACCATTTAGGTGTATGAGTATATGTTGTCCAATATGAACCTTTGACAAGAGTTACATGCCAATGTCGACCATATGTACTGTCAAGCCATCTTTTTAGTTTCTCTGAAACTTCTTTTTCTATAAATTTATCTTTTGATTGAGTAAGTCTATAAGCCTCTTCAGATATTTTGATTTGATCTTCTAAAGGTAATTCTTGCATGATCACATAGATCTCAGGACGTAATCCACCTTGAGAAGAATATCCGTATAGTGGCCTTGTGTTCACATACTGACTAGGAGAAAAGAGAGGAAACTAGAAAATCATTATCATATTGAATAAAAATTACAATGATTTCGTTCACTGAGAATTTCAGCTCATACTAGTTATTTGTGAAATATTCAGGGGATCAGAAACAAAACAACTCATTAAATGTTTTGAGAATATATGGCTTAGAAATCAATATTATTCAGGTAAACAATGGTAGGTGGACAGTTTCCAATATCGCTTACATGCTTTCATGAAACACTTTATTTGATCTCATCTTCCACTTTCTATTAGATAAATATTAACACTATTCATTCAACATAATCAATACATTCTACTTTAGAACATTCGTGGTGACTTCAAATAAAATAACATTTACAATATAAATATTAAAAAATTATGTTGTTTACTAAGAATATCTCTCTTCACTTAGATACTTAGAGCAAAAGAAGAAGGTATTCTATCATAAAATATTGGTGATGAGAAGATGAAAAAGACCTTGATGATGTTCTTCAATCACTTTCTTACTATCATAAGTTTTGCTTTATGAATATTGTATACTTGACCAACTGACCAATCACCAGTCTTCTAGAGATTCAGAGGAACGGTCGACCAATGACGCGTGACCCTGTTTTCTCCAGCAATCAATACTGTTTTATTACATACATTTTCGATTCTTTTATTTATAATACTACACATTTGATACTATGAATTACGTGAATATCGTTTCCAAACTGGATTAATTGGTTTAATAAGTATATTATTAGAATCAGTTTCGTACCTAGCAACTAGAAACATTCTAAGAAAAAAGATACAGTAATACGTAGTTCATGTCATCGATGCATATATTGTTTCTGCCTTTACATAGAGTCAAAAATTTAGGTAATGTGTGCGACGATAATAATAACAATAACCACTTTATTCCAGACAATCATGTTTAATACAGTGTGAAATTATTCGGATGAATGTTATTTCAGCCAATTTACCTCTTGTACAGTACTTTCAAATTAAATTACCGTCGTAGTTGATTATTGTTAACAATAACAATATGATAAGCAACAGTTAACAACGACCACTTGTTTTTAAGTCATCGTCTAATTTATGATTAGGTTATTGCACAATGAACAAATAGAAAAGCCTCCGTTGGTGGAAGATCATTCAGACAGCATACAAGTTTCCAGCTACTGGTAGTTATTCCTGATGAACTGTTAAACGCTCAGAAGCTCACCACCATTTACTGTGATATTTCTTTTTGTAATTTTATTGTTATCTTGTGTGACGATAGGTTCAAGATATTTTTAAAATGCGCGACAGTATGATTTGTTGACATCTGAATCATTAAAACAAGTACAAAAGGATCAGTTCGATGTAGTAGATATGATGGAAACTTTCAGCGAATATTTTGTGATTAGTCTTACTGGGTTTGTCAGTCCAGCTCACAAAATATATGTGGAATTAAGGTATTTAAGTATTTTCAGTCAAAAGTTCAATTATCAACTTATTTTCAACACATTAAATTAACTTACTTCTGTTCAGGTTTTATGCCTAGCACATCACAAAAGCGTTGAATAGTTATCTTTCCGCTTCTCTCAGGATCAAATAAAGCCTGCCATTTCTGTTCAAAAGGACAATTAATTTATATAATGGTAAGCGGATTCAAAACACACAACAGTATAAAAAGCTATTTTTCAGTACATATTATTTGGTAATTATTGAATATAGGAAGTTCTTATTTAGATATTTAGAAAAAAGACTGATGAAGTGGAGAAATTAGTTGTATGATATTCTCATCATCATCGTTGATGATGTACATAATAAGATCTCATATTTTTGAAAATTATTTACTAAGTGTTTGGTTTGTGTTGATATTTCTATCAATTGAATAATTTCTCAACTGTTGAACTGCTATCTCACCAAATTAACTAACCAGACTAAGTTGATCTGAAAAATTTTGTTCTTTAAACTGAATTTATTGAGGTACACTGCTGATGAGCTCAACTACAAATGAAAGAAACTACCCTCTAGTATCTAGATTCCTGTGAATGGCTTCTAACTACTCACACTGTGTATAAGTATGCTTTGGAAAAACTTCCATTTTTTTTCATTTTCAAAATAATCATCAAGTGAAGGATGAAAACATACACCTGATTTTAAATTCTCTGTACTATCCGTACTGAATAATATTCTCATAGTAATAAGATAAATAACTTAGTAAAAATACTGCACATGAGACAGCAATGAAAAATTGTTACAAAATAATGTGCCAAATTTCCTGGGAAGTAGCTTCTCCAGTCTGACAGGAATTCTATTCAACTTAGCAAAAGTTTGGTGTAACTGGATAAGTGATAATCCAACGAATAAGGTTTTATGCTTAAAAATTTCTACAATCCCAAGTTGCATTAGAGATTGACCTTTGAATGTAACGCTAGAGATGATGGACAAGGTGGCGATTTTGAGCTGGAGAAGGTCCGTTTGAACTGATGTGAATAGTAGTTTAATTGCTGTTCATAGAAACTGATTTCCGTGAAATCATTTCAATAGTCAACGAAGCTTTCCAACAAAACTTGCACACATATCAAAAGAATGTCTTCATCTGTTCAGTAGGACAGAAAAAGAAATTAAAGTTACAGTATCAACCACGTTGACTTAATCGGTGGAGAGATTTCGTTAGACCTAGAATATGCAGATGACATTGTCCTGTTAGGCGAAGATGCTGACAAGATGCAGAGTCTTCTTAACACTTTGAGTAGTGATTTCAGAATGTTTGGGAAGCGTTTCTCACCACCCAACTGCAACTTGCTGCTCCAGGATTGGTCTTCAACGGTCCCACAGAGAACAACAGACAGTGTAGTGATTGAGCGTGTCGACCACTTTACTTACCTGGGAAGTAGGATCAGCCCCAATGGATCAGTGGCCGATGAAATCTATACACAGATACAAAAGGCTCGGCTGAGTTTCACAAACTTACTCAACCTGTGACACCGCCGTGATATCTAATTGCCTATTAAGGGTCGCGTGTACTGTACAGCAGTGCCCTCTTTCTACTCTATGGCCGTGAAACATGGCCATCGAAGGTGAAGGACATGAGAAGGCTTCAAGTGTTTGACCACCGTTGCCTTCGTAGTATACGCCGTATTCTGTGAGTAATGCAGAAGTCTGAAGTAGAGTTTTAGAGAGAAGAGGTAAATTATTTGAGATGGTTTTGAACCTTCATCGACTGAGGTGGTTGCAACAAGTGTTACGTATGCCAGTCGCCGATTGCCTCGTCACACAATGTTGGCCGAAGTGGGTGCAGGCTGGAAAAAAGCCCGAGGTGGCCAAACTAAAACATGGCATCAATGTAGGGAGTGTTTGACTGTTGGTATGAGTCATGTGGGACGATATAGACTAGGTGGTTGGGGTCCACAGAACAAGAAGAAACAGTGGTTGGAGACTCAAGGTCATGTGGCTGAGAACCGATGTCAGATGTATGCACAATTTATCCTCATTCTAACGACTCTATACCCAATCTCACCATTTTCTCATTCTTCCTTTCTCTCCTTTCGTACTTTATATTTCTTTTGGCTGAATTCTCTTATCTTCATCTTGTGCCTCACTGCCTTTTTACTTGATGTAGTGATATGAGGTGTGGCAACTCGGACCGTTACGCAATAATGCGCGGTCCTAGGTTGATCTGGATGGATGGATTAACCACGTTACTTAACGTAATTTTTTCATCTCTATGGAAGGCTAACAAATTCTACTTCGGTACTTAGTTTTTCAAATATACATATATTTAGTAAACGTGAAGTATTGAATTTCTTCGAATAAGTAGCAAAATACTGCAGCCATCCCTCCACAATCTCTCAATTACTTGTTTCCTCCAATGCACACAAAATCATTGGCCTTTATTACACACAGCTATTCCTACTTCTTCAAAACTAATTTCAAATAATTCTGCCTTGCAAAACAGTAATAATAGTTCCTTAGATGGCTACTAATACTGGTCTGTAGAAATGTATGCCAACACGGAGACCTATGAAAAAAGTGCTGGAATTAACCATTAAAATTAACAAACAAAGTACCTTCCACCTAAATTAATTATCAGTAAGGTGTGCACCAAGCCTCAAAGAAAATTGCTTTTCTAAAGATAATTAAACCTGGACACTTCTGTGTTAAAATCTTGAAAAATTCCTACCCATTTATCCAAGTTTGAATAAGCAAGTCAGAGCGCTTTCTACATATTTTCTGCACCCATTTTACATCAAATACAGCGTACTGGAGTTCTTTTTTGAATTAAAATATGTGTGAAATTCATTTATTTAACAAATACTTATCGTTTTCACACCTAGATTGGTTGTTCAACAGTATTCGAAAAAATACTACGATACTACTTTAAAATATTAAGTAAGCAAAATAGAAATAAAAAAATATTGATGAAACTGTTTGAAATTATCCTGATCCTAACGTAATGGGAATCTGATTGAAGGGAGATAAGACAAAGACTTAGGTCACTGAAGATTCAGTGCTAAGTTCTTTCATCTCATTACAATAAAAGAAATTTTCAGGTGATCGCTGTTTGCACTAGTTCTGGAGAAAGTATTCTCATTGGTGAAGTCCACAGCTTTGTATTACAGTTACATCTGTTTCTACTGTTTGTGATATACAGCTTATCAAAATGATAAACTTGACCTTGACATAAATAGAAAAACATTTGAGAATCAGACTCATGCAAATATAGGCACACTAGTCTACTGTAAGTTTTCGGATTATTGCGAATAATCGAAATACCAACTATAGGAAATAATACTTGAATTTTATAACTATGGGAATTTAGGTGACGAATACTTTTTCATTTGGATTTGTCTGTAGAGAAAGTACAAAAAGGATACTCTGTAGGGTTTAAAATCATCATTTTTAAATATATATGTTGTTAATCCACTACAGATAAATATCTACACAGTGGTGATAGCCGAAAATGGTATGAAACTGGTTAGTAAGTGATCTACTAGATTTTTGAGCTGAAGTTTTAATTAACAAACACTTCAGCAACATAACTAGCATTGAACATATCAGTTTCATCTGAGGATGATACTTGGCTTGAAAATGGCACTGAAATGCGAAATTATATTCTTTCTACATGCCCACAAGTAGTCAGTTCATTAAGTCGAAATTATAGTCAGTTGGCATAAAAGAGTCAATGAAGATTCATGAAGAAAATAGTAAAATTATACTCACTGTGATCATCTGTCTGTCTAAATGATTTTCTTTGACGTAATTTTGTAGATTATCAACTGTAATCACTTCGCTTTTACTCTTGTCTACAGCACTGAATGTAGCAATGAAGGGTTCCATTGTCTCCTTGTTATTTTTCCACTTGATTAACCTGAAAGACTAAAGGATGTAGTTGAAAGTAGGATGGAATCTTTAAACCTGAAGAGAATAGACTGAAGATGGCTGTGCCTATATATAAGGAGAATTCGGAACAATTCAATTCACCATTAAAGTAACATGTGGATTCTCTGCTACTCTTCTGATAACTTATGATGTAATCATTTGATATTCAATTGACTTCTTGATACATAAATCGTCCTAGAGATGAAAACTTTTGTAAAATCAAACAGCATGTGATGATTTTCACCTGTTATTCTATAAAACATAACTATAATAATAATAATAATTAGTCTATTAATGTAGGAAGGAGGTTGACTTTTAGCAAAAAACTTCAAAATATATAGTCGCCTAATTGGCGTATATTCTTCACTAAGAGTAATTAGTTGGAATTTTGAAGAAGGTTAATGAAATCACGGTTATTAGTGATTTTTCTCATTCTTTTATCATGAAGATAAAAAAAAGTTTATTGGCGCCTATAATCTCAAAGATGAATCAGAATAATATAACTTCAGCATTTAGCTACAGAATGCTAAAAAAAGGTCTACAGTAAGGAAAAGCTTCATTCAGTCAAGCAGGGTAGTTTTACCAGGTCCCTAAGCGTCACATTATTGGTTAAGGTGGAGTTTGATACCGGGTTGCCAAGGTTAGAAACGATTTTTAGTTAAGTGTGTTCTGAGTTTCAGTTAGTTACTCACTTATTGGCTGTACTGGTTGTGATGACTGTGTAAAATAGTTAGACTATTTGCAAACAATGGTTACCAGGATGAATTTTAGGATTTAAAAGTGATGGAATTTTATCAATCGAAAGATGTAGAGTATTTTTTGCAATGGGTTTCATACGAAAATGAACAGGATGATATTATAGATTACTTTATTGCATCACTTTAGTATCTAAACTATTAATTTTTTGGTCCGAATTCGTTTGAATTCAGGTTTCTATAATCAGTGTAAAGTGAGTGGAATAATAATAAAACAGTGGAGTTCTTTTAACTCACTTTTTGGGACTATTCATCAGCGTTACGGTAATGCCGATGAAGACACTTTTTTATGGGGTAATTATTAGTGTTATTCCTAGCAGTAAAGCATAGGGGCGCATTTCACTCTACTTGAGACGCTGCAGTTGATTTTCACTGTATGCTGGAGCTTTTTCACTAACGTTAAAATCCTTCAACTGGCACTGTATTGTCTACTACGTTACTTAGATGTGGATTTCAACTGTTTGCTATTAATAAACAGTACTATACATGTAAGGGTGCACAATCATTATCATCATCAATATCAAAATAAGACCAGGCATTAGTGCGTAGCGTTCAGAGTTGCCACACCTCATATCACTACATCAAGTAAAAAGGCAGTGAGGCACAAGATGAAGATAAGAGAATTCAGCCAAAAGAAATATAAAGTACGAAAGGAGAGAAAGGAAGAATGAGAAAATGGTGAGATTGGGTATAGTCTTTAGAATGAGGATAAAGTGTGCATACATCTGCGCCACTGACATTGGTTCTCAGCCACATTACCTAGAATCTCCAACCACTGTTTCCTCTTGTTTTGTGGACCCCAACCACCTAGTCTATATCGTCCCACATGACTCATACCAACAGTCAAACACTCCCTACATTGATGCCACGTTTTAGTCTGTCCAATAGGCTGAAATGAATTGCTGACACATATGAAATGCTAATATAAAAGTGCATGATACGCCTTACGTTGATTAGTTTCTTCTAGAGCTTTTTCTTCATGTTGTCAGCAGTTTGGTGACTCTTAACATGAAATGAAAGAGGTTTTGCTTACTTCGACTTATTTAGCCTCTCAAACTGAATATTCAAGACACACACAATTAATTTCATTGCCAATTATGAAATAATGTAAAGGGGAACTAAATATCAGCTAAGAAACCTTCAATACAATATTCTTCAGACTAAGATCCCAGGGTAGAAAATATAAGAAAATAGTTCAAGGAACTGCAGGGTGAGGGTGCAAATATATCCTACTGAAAAGGTCCATACAGGACGAAACGTGAATCCTGGATTCCGCTGTTAGTTACCAAGCTGAATATAACATCATGAATATCCGGCGGTATCGAGACATCCGCATAGGAGCCAATCTGCCAACAGACGCCTAGAAATTCGGCCTTATATAGCAATGGGAAATTAAAAGCATCAACATAACAACCGAAACCCAATGGCACAAGGGGAGGATCTCATGCCCTGGTGTCCTACTGGTGCCTGAATCGATGTGTACTAGGACAGTATCTCAGTGGGGACAACATCACTCATTGAGGTGCAGGTATTTCAAGCTGACGAGTGCCGAACAGGACGAAACGAGTCTCGCTGATTCTACTGCTGGTCACTTAGCCGAATAAGACCTATCCATTCCTTTAGATGTTAGGAGTCAATTAGCAGAAGGCTAAGGACCTAAGTTTCGTGCTTGCTGGAGCTGATTATCAAGACGTATCTGAAATAATTAACGAGATATTTGGTCACCTAATGATTTCAAGTGGCTCCACTGAGTATCGAAATCAGACAGTTTGCCACTAAACTAGTCAAGATTATGGTAATAATTGTAGGATTGGATTAGGTATATGATTCAGTTATCCTTGAGTAAGTTCTGTAACTGTCTAGTTTTTAGAACTCAACACTGACTAAAGCCTCTCGATCAACACCAAAACACAATTTAATGCGGGATTACATTACACAGCTTAGTCATCACATTGTAAGCTTTGACGAAAGACTTCAGCTAGAACTGAGCATCAAGGGCTAGATATCTATGTTCGTTACCTACTCATTACTAATTTTTACATACAAAACGGTTTATAAATGAGAATGGGTGCGATAATCAGCATTAAGTTAAAACACTAAACTACATATAACGGGTGTTACAAGATAAATCTATTTTCAGCTATTAAGAACCATAAATAAAATGACCACTTTGCTCATATCTATAACTCGGTATTCAGTAGCCATTGAATTTTATTTGTGGCTGTTTGCTTGTATCACTTACGAAGTAGCTCAAATCTGCATAAAATTGGATACCCGAAGAAATGTAAGGGAAGTCTGTGAAACACTGCAAGTGAACGTTGTGCTGTGGTTAGGTATACTCTCCTCCATTAGTTGTAAATCATGTCATTGAGCCTACTGATGATTCATCAAAAATCTCATGCATTTCGTTGCTAGTCGTGATCAGCATAAGACTACTTCTCAAATATTTGAGCATTTTGTTGGTTACAAAAAAAGGATGATTACAAACTAACTACATTCACCTTTCTTTAACGAGCAGTGTTTATTAGGTAGTGTGGGTTTGAATCTCATAGAGGATATCAGTTCCCTTGAAGCTACAGAAACAACTGACTGATGAGTGCTAAGAAGCTGGAAACTTAGGTTCAAGGCTCTCTGTCAACTGCTTCCAAACAACGGGGGGAAAGATCCTAGAAGATTTGGATTTCGTCGATGACTTGTGTCCAATGTTCCACAAACTTGAAGATCGACAGGTGAAAACTAACAAGTTGACAGAAGAGGTGAGGCAGCTAAGATGGGACTTGAAGTGAACGTAGAGAAGACACAGGTGATGATGAAACCCAGCCAACAATAACAAGCTCCAATCACCATCAACAAGAGAAACTTAAGGAAGTAGTCTCTTTCACCCATCTAGGCAGCACTGTCTCAACTACAGGCGGCAGTGGCACAGACGAGGATGTCAAAACCAGGGTCGGAAAGACAGCAAGACGGGCCTTCATTAACCTGAAACCAGTGTAAAGGTCTTCCGCACTCAGCATAAAGAACAAGATCTGAATTTTCAACACCAACGTCAAGTCAATGCTTCTATATGGTTGAGAGACTTGGCGCGTTACGAAAGGAATTTCCAACAAACTACAAACATTCATTAACAACTGCCTATGCTGGCTCGTTACTGAAGATCAGATGGCCAGAATAATAACAATAATAAACAACAGGGAACTCTGGCTGGCAACGAACCTACCAAGAACCTATCACTCAACAAATATGCAGTGGAAGGAAGTGGAGATGGATAAGATTGGGCATACACTGAGAAGACCTTTCGGGGAAGTGACGCACCAGGCCAGGTAGTTGAGTGGAACCCAGATGGGAAGCGACGAGTTGGGTGTCCGAGGTAAGGTTGACATGGAGGAGATGGTGTGAGGAAGAAATTAGAGCTTGTGGGCTGTCTTGGAGCCAGGTTGAAAAGATTTCAGAGAAGACAGTGGAATGGAGACGTGCTACTGTAGCCGTATGTTCCATTAGGAACCCAAGGGACAAATGATTATAATAATAATTTACGTTGGTCTGAAGTGACTTTAAAGGCCATCCTGGCAACAAATGAAATGACCAGTTATTATAATAATTATTATTATTTGTCCCTTGGGTCCCTAGTTGAACATAGGGCTTCGATAGTATGTCTCCATTGGACTCTGTTCACTGCAGTCTTTTGAACTTGGTTACACGACTGCTCAGGGAATGACTAGTTAGAATTATCTATTTTATGAAAATTTGACTTTCCATCCGAAATGGGGAAAGGTAGTTGATTATTTAGATAGTTGCTAGGGTGGCCTTTAAAGTTGTTCTCCGAAACATATATACAGATATGGATGTTAGTGGAATACAGAAAGTAAGGTTCCTACTATTTTTGAGGATTTATCGTCAGTCGTGAACCATGTGAATGGCTCCTACTTTGATATCTTATTCATAGTGCCTTACTTCATCATATTATCCACATACACACAAGGAATAAATTTTAGTCTGTATCAAAGACAATAAATTATGTATATTGAGTCCGTTAGAGATTAATGATATATAATGGTTGGCGGTGGAATACAGGACGAGCATTTCTCCAGATTTATGATTCATCTGATGTATTTAGTTGCCTTTTAGTGAATGATTTTGCTTCCAGAGAGACTAACAACCAGTACCCATCACTTCAAACTCCAGAGTTGCATTCACTAGACTGCT